CCCCCCCCCCCCGCCGCAACCAAGCATCACATGCACTGGGTCTCCTGCCACACAGGCACCCAGGGAGCCACCCCACTCCCCGCCCCTCACCTCCCAGCCTTCAGGGAGCTTTCCAGGCACCCCTGCCGGAGCCGTCAGGGACCCGTGTCCTACCGTCGATATAGGCCGGCATCTGGCCGAAGATGGTGAGGTACGACTGGTAGACGACCCCCCGGAAGATCCAGTCCACCCGGCTCTCGTTGTGGATGAGGATGGCCTGCTTGGCCACCCCGAAAGACACCACCCACACCGCCAACAGGAAGAGGAAGAAGAAGACGTCCTTCATCTGCAGAGACAGGGTGGCACCAGCTGCAGCCGCCCACCCACACGCTCCTGCTGCCCCCCATACTCAGGCTGTGTGCTCTGCGGTGGTGGGAGGAGCTGCTGTCACCCTGGACAGGGACACTTGGGGCCACAGCCCTGGCCTGCCCCCACATCCTTATAGGGTGCTGGGCATGATGTGTAGGAGGGGCTGGGTATGACTGTGACCCACGGAGGGAGTGATAGGAACTGTAACAGGGCTCGGGAATGAGCTGTGGAGATCAGGGGAGGCTGTCTGGAAGAGGTGACATACAGGCAAAGACCTGCGATGGGCATGCTGGGGTTGGGAGCCCAAAGGCAAAGCAGGGACGTGCTTTGCTCAAGCCCTGGAGCACCCCGCTTGCAACTGGCATCCGGACCCCCTGATCCCCTTACCATCCGCTTCACGATGATGATCTTGGGCCCCAGTGTCTTACTGATGGTGAAAATGTGCATCAGCCGGAGGCAGAACATGATGAAGTCCAGAGAGAGGATGATGCGCCCGGGGTACAGCAACGCTGGTATGAGCCTGGCCCCCAGGCAGAATCAAGGACCCCTGAGCTCACCGCTCCCAGAGCCCGTCCCCAGCTGCCCGCTCACCTGACCAAGCCCACGTGTGCTCTGGAGGCCCCCGGACCCCAGAGAACTAAAAACAGGGTGTGAGCTCATGGAGCAGTGCCTCCAGGGAGGTGTTATCCGGAAAGGTCCAGAAGCCCAGCCTTGGGCAGGGGAGGTGGGCCATGCAGGCCTCTTGGGAAGCAGCATGGCTGGGCTGGTCCCTCTTGCCTCATGGAGAAAGGGACTGAGGCAGGGACACCCGTGGCCCTAATGGGCAGGGGAGCGGGCGGGGCCCCAGCAGGAGGCGGAGTCATTGGGCTGCAGGTGCGCAGCCCTCTGAGGGGGCGGGAGCTCTGGCAACTTCCCCTTTGCTCAGGGCAGATTTTGTCCCCCAGACAGACAGCAGACATGGCCAGAGGGGACGTGAGCCCGCCGGGCTGCAGCCGCAGACAGGAAGCCGCAGAGAAGACAGGCCGCTCACCTGCAGGTCAGTCCTGCTATGAACAGCAAGATGGCACCGATATCCAGTTTATTCCAGAAGTCACTGAAGTACAGGAGGGCCATCTTCATCAGCCCGAACTCATCAGGGTCATAGAAGAGCTGCGAGAGGACGAGGTTAGGGGTCTGTCTTCAGCAACCTCACCAGCAGCAATGAAGACACCCCCTCCTTCCCGGAGAGTGAGGCTAGCCAGGAAGAGGACAGATTCCCACCGTCCCCAGGTACCCTGGGTCGAGGAAGAGTGGGAGAGGAGCCCAGGCAGGGGTGTTGCCAGGCGGCCCTGAGCCCACCGTCCGACCCTCCGCAACCCATCAGTCCACAAATGTGTGTGGCAGGGACAACCCCCTCCTGTCTGTGTGAGCCAGCTTCCCACAGGACCCCTGTCCACCTGCTTCCGCAGAAGACCCAGAGAAGCAGGACCACGGCAGCCCCGGTCCCCGGCAACTGGATGGGTGGGGCAGACGGCCCCCCTCGGGGAGGAGGTCACACCCAGCCTCCGATCTGGGGCTTTGCCCCCTGGGAGCAGGTCGGACTTCAGGAGGCGGCACAGCCAGAGGGGAAGCCAGCTGGACAGCGCCGCCTCCTGCACTTGCCTCCCGGGGAACTCTGATGCCACCCTGGACCCTGACTGCAGCGTCTATGTGCCCGGTTAGCCCGCCGTGGGCCTACGGAGAAGGTGAGCCAGCCGCGGGTTCCAGTGCCGGGGGACGCGGGTGGGGATGCGGACCAGTGGACAGGCTGCGGGGGCTGGGGACCCAAGGGAAGCAGGGAAGGGGGCTGGGCGGGCACACCTGCCGCAGCTCCTCGCACACGAGGGAGAAGAGCCAGAAGTAAATGAGGTACTCGCAGCACGAGGGTGTGGGCTGGAAATCCACCATGAGCACGTAGGCGAACAGGCAGAGGAAGGCAAAGTAGGACAGGATGTTGAGGTGGAAGATGACCACGGGGGCATTGAAGAAGGCTCGGACCCGGGGCAGACCCGGCCCGGCCTGCAGCCTCCTCTCCCTGCAGGGCAGATGCAGACGGGAGGGGGGTGGGCTGTGAGGGGCCTGGAGCCCAAAGGACCTCCGCCTCCCCTAAGGAGCAGGGCCACCGCGCTGGTGTGTTCCTGTCACACGGCAGAGACGGGCCTGGGCACAGGGGGCATCCATGCAGCCCACGGACTCTCCACACACAGCCACATGGGGGCTCCACCACGAGGCCCCGCATGGGGAGGGCCCTGAGAGCACCTGTCTCTGGTTCCACCGGGACTGAAAATAAATATTGGGCCCAGGGATGCTCAGTGCAGGGGGGAGCTCAGTGCAGAGCCAGTGCTCAGGGCAGGTGGGTGCTCAGTGCAAGGGGGTGTTCAGGTGATGGAGGGTTCTCAGTGCTGGGGTGCTCATGGCAGGGGGGTGCTCAGTGCACGATGGGTGCTCAGTGCAGGGGGAGCTCAGTGCAGAGCCAGTGCTGAGGGCAGGGGGGTGCTCAGTGCAGGGGGAAGCTTTGTGCACGGGGGCTGCTCAGTGCAGGGGGGTGCTCAGGGCAGGGGCCAGCTCAGTGCAGGGGTGTGCTCAGTGCAGAGGGGGTGCTCGTGGCAAGTGGTGCTTAGGGCAGGGGTGCTTAGGGCACGGGTGCTCAGTGCAGACAGGGTGCTCAGGGCTGTGGTGTGCTCAGTGCAGGGGGTTGCTCAGGGCAGGGAGCGTGCTCAGGGCAGGGCCAGCACTCAGTGCAGAGAGGTGCTCAGGGCAGGGCCAGTGCTCAGCCCATTTTTGGTGCTTGGCACGGTAGGTGTTCAGCACACAGAGAGACCCCTCCCCCCTTGCCTCCCGCCTGCATGCCTCTCTATCACCGTAGGACCTGGTAGCAGCCACCAAGACAGGTGTGACCTGCCCCCAGCAAGCACATTTGGGAAGGAAGGTCTGGGGCCCTGCACCGCCTCCCTACCCCTACAGCCCAGAGGCCAGGCTGGCACCTGAAGGAGATGAGGCCGGTATAGAGCAACGGGAAGGCCAGCATACACACGATCACCCGCCAGAGCCCGTTGTCCACGCAGAGCTGGCCCCACCACACCTTGGTTAGAAAGGCCTGTGGACAGAGGAGGCAGCTTCAGGCCGGTGGGCACCCCCTGTGCCCCACCCCTGAGGGTGAACAATGTGTCTTCTCGGCGCCACACGCTTGCATGCCCCAAGCACGGCACTCTGAGCCCCCAGCCACGCAGCGTGGTGGGCAGCACGGGACAGGCCCCGTCATCTTCTGGCGGAGGAAGAGGCTCGGGTGTGCAGGGCCAGGCAGTCTTTCCCGGAGGTAAGGGCTGGGGCCGCGTGGAGGACTGTAGGCTCCCAGGTAGGGGACCCCCCGCCCACTCTCTCTTAGCACCAGTTTGCTGACTTGCAAAGGGAGTGGAGAGGGTGTGTCGGTCCACAGCACAGGACCAAGGCCCAGGCCTGTCCCCGGGTCCCCGCAGCACAGGGACCCATGTGCCTCTGTGTGAGCGGGGGCTGCACCCGCACCGGCAGCACCACGGACAGCTCCTCCCGGAAGCAAGCCTGCAGCACGTCACCTGGACGCCTCCGTGAGACACGAACTTCATGTCCTTGGCCTCCAGGGCTAGCTGCAGGCAGGTGGTCTTGCCCCAGGCCTCCGACACGCGGGTGAGCAGCTTCTGAGCTCGGTCCTCATCCTTCCGGTGGCACTCGGTGAACACCCCTGGGACGAGGAAGATCGTGTCATGGCAGCAGGGTCCTAGTCCCCGATGCCGGGGCACAGCGTCAAGGAGCAGCCCCAGCCGATGAGATGGTCTGGACAGAACTGGGGGCGGAGGCCGGGGACGAGGATCCTGGGGTGACATGTGAGGAGGGGAGCCGTGGTCCAAGGCCGCCACCTGTGGACTCACCGATGGCTCTGTGTTCATACTCATCAGCGAGAGCCAGCATCTCCTCCAAGCTGTCCGTGTCCTCCTCCTCCTTAGACAGCTCCTTCAGGATCTTGCTGCAGGCCAAGGCCGCGGCAATGCAGTCCTGGCTCTGGGCACCAGGGAGGCCACAGTGAGAACCTGGGTGGTCCAGCCCGGGAACCCCAGACACGCTGCCCAGGGGTGATGAGAACAGAGGCCCCGCGACACAGGGGCCACTAGCTGATTACTTGTGCTCTTGTCTGTATCACTTGGGTCACCCCAGATCTAGAGGTGAGCCTTAGCTGGTGGCCCGGGCTCCCGCACTGGCCAGTGGGAGCGGTCTGCTCGCCCACCCGGAGCACGGACCCGATGCAGGCATGAATCTCAGCACTCCCTGGGCATCTGGTCAACCCCCGGCATGGGGCTGAAGGGCAGAAACGTGACCAGGTCCACGCAAGACCCCTCAAGGCTCTGGGCGCCCTGCCTCAGCGGCACCAGGGATGTTAAGAAAATCTCAAGGAAAGCTCTCAAAGCACTGCCTGGTCAGAAGGCAGCACTGGCCCAGGACGAGGGGCCGGTGGCAGAGCCTGGAAATCTCTGGGCCTCCCATCCACTTTGCCCCACAGAGCACGCCTGAGGCCACGGTCAGGCCCAGCTCCACCACGGACCCACCACACACTTTGGGAGAGGGCAAAACCCCCAGAACCACAGACCAGGTAGGAAGCCACCTATGCCACTCTGCTGGCATCACTGGGGAGGGGACCGGTTCCACAACAGCAATTTGGAAAGGCCAACACTGAGAGGTAGGGGACCTCTCTGAGAAAAAATGACACTTTGTTTTAACAAGAGAATCTGCTTGAAGTAAAGGAGAACCACGTGTGAGAGACTTGGGTCCACAACACTTGGCTTCAGGCCCCACCTGGCATGTCCTCCGTCATGACCACCAAGCTGCCCACGGACCCAGTGGCAAGGGAGCTGCTGACCGATGTTCTCAGGTGGCTCAGAAAGGGGCTCTTCCCCCATCTAAGTACCAGACTGTCTCTGTTGAGACCCGTAACGGTCAGTGGAAAGAGATGTAGCACCTCCGGGGATGTAACTTGCCTCCAGACTGTCTAGTGAATAGGACAGCCACAGCACAGGTGCCGACCCACCGGAACCCCCGTGTGGGCCATGGAGGGCGGCTCCTCCCAGCTGTGTGTGCCCCCTGAGCTCAGCCCCTGGACAGAACGGCAGGGGGCAGCACAGCTTCTTAAAATTCTTTCCTTGCCTGAGCCAAATTCTCTGTTCTCCACCACTGGGCACCCTGGGTCTCTTCTGGGGTCATGGACGCCCACCGCCCTCCCTCCAAGGCCACGTGCTCCTCCACCTGCTGTCGGCACTGGCTTTCTGGCCACACTCCCTGGCTGAAACCCCGTCACTAGTCCACATGTAGCCGTGTGTGCTGAGAAACAGGTCTGGTTACCTGTGCCCAGATGATTTCTGCCAGCTCCCGACGGTTCTGGATGATGGCCCAAATGAGAAGATCACGGACTGGGTCCATGGTGAAGGCCACGTGGCCTGGTGAACGCTTGTAGAGGGACCGGAGACTCACTCCCTGCACCTAGTGAGCAGTGGACATTCAGAACCTCTCCTAGGTCCCCACTAGCTTCAGCATCCCTGGGTGTGCCTGCTGAGCATGCAGGTCCTGAGCCCAGCTCCACACCTTTCTGGAACCACTGTTCCTGGAGGGTGAGCCCTACAACCTGCATCTTCAGCAACACTTTAGATCAATCTCATGTACACTGGAGTTTTAAGACCATCACTCTGGAGACATGTGGAAACACTCAGAAAGTGGAAAACCCGGCTAAGTCCTTTGCCAACAATTGTAGCCTCATGTTACACACCAGGCACCTCTAGTCTCCTTCATCTTAGCTGACGGCATCCAGCCTTTTTCTGTGAGGTAAACTTCCAACACAGAGTCTGTTATAGATTCGTAGCAGTGAGCTCCTCAAGGGAACCTACAGTGTCGCCTGCAGAGAAGACCAACAAGGAACTGTTGCTGAACAGACAAGGATTACTTGTGAGCAGGAGGGCCCCTTGCCCCCAGACACACTCAATTTACACAGTCACATGGGAATCCAGCTTCCTGGCTGATCAGTAAGTAAACACCTACTCAGATGGTCTGGAAATAATTACCAGAGGTGAGAACAACTTCCCACATCAAGCACAAAATTCCACTTTCTTCAAGTCATTTTGTACATTTCCTAAAAGCTTATCTTTATATTTTTAAAAACTTAATCGACAAATTAAGTTATAGACACAGTTAACTGTAGCTTCCAATTTTGACCTTCTTAAAGGGCATCTTAAATACTCTGGAATTAAGAAATGCAGAACTGTTAATATACAAAACCAAGCCACAGCCACGTCTTTCTCCAGAGTCAGGCATAGCCTACCTGGGACGATGGATGAATTTGAAAACTCAAGGAAGCGGGTAATTTTCTAGCAGAAGAGGAAAACCCAAATCTAATCTTAGAGTACATAGAAAAGCTCAACAAATCAATTATCAGAAAAGAAACAGAAAATCCTCAGAGCTACTACTGAAAAAGGCACTGAGCCCTGATGGGCTCCTAGGAGAGCCTGCTGATCTGTAAGAACAGGGAGTTCCAGCCACATAAACTGTTCCAGAGCAAAGAAATGAGGAAGATTTCCCAATGGTTTCCACAAGGACAACATCAAGCTGATACCAGAACCTGACAAAGACAGCCCCCAAATAAAACCACAATCAAAGCTTCAAACATTCTGATGCAAAAACCATGAAAATATCAGCAACATAGTCCAGTATCATAGTAAACACATGTTACAATGCAATCAAGTTGAGATCAAAATAGGATTAAAAATGTTTTGGTAACAGAGCGCCTGGGTGGCTCAGTTGGTTAAGTGTCTGACTTTGGCTCAAGTAATGCTCTCACAGTGTATGGGTTTGAGGCCTGCGTCGGGCTCCATGCTGACAGCTCCAAGCCTGGAGCCTGCTTCAGATCCTCTGTCCCCCTCTCTCTCTGCCCCTCCCCTGCTCATGCACTCTCTCTCTCTCTCTCTCTCTCTCTCTCTCTCAAAAAGAAACATTAAAAAGCTTAAAGAACTGGGAGACAGATACTTGCTAACATAAATTCAGAAGCCAGTCTCACACTTAACACCGAGATGAGTCAAGAGTCCCATCAAACACGGACAGAGACTAGAAAACAATCTCCCCCGTGCTCCTGTGTGGCAGTGCACATGCTGGGCACCTCACAGCGATGTGGCGGAATCTTGCTGACCTGACCACATGAAAATCCAATTTCACCTGGTGGCCAGGAGGGGGGGTACAAGGCACGAAGGAGATCATTTTCCCTGCATAACCTTTTGTACTGTCTGAAATTTTTAGAAAGGGAGAATTATGGATGAAAACATGTCCCCAAAGTTCATACATTGAAGCCCCAGCTCCTAAAGTGACCGTATTTGGAGGTGATTAAGGTTGAATGAGGTCATAGGTTGTGGCCCTGATCTGATGGGACCTGTGTCCCTGTAAGAAGGGGAAGGGACACTGTTGCTCTCCGTATCTCTCTGCCTGCACGCCGAGCGAAGACCACGTGAGGACGTGGCAGGAAGGCGGCTGTCCTCAAGCCAGAAAGAGAGGCCCCCCTAGAAACCGGCCCCACGATGCCTCGAGGCCAGACTTCAGCCTCCAGACCGTGAGGGACTAAATATCTTGTTTAAGCTGCCCGGTCTGTGGTATTTTTTTTATAGGGGCCCTGGCAGACTACAATGGAGCATATTTCTTTCCCAATAAAAATAAAGGACAATTTCTTTTAAAAAGAAGCCCTAAGGACATAGCAGCGGCCCAACACACGGGCCAAGTGGGGCTGGGGCCACGTCACCAGCACGCACGTTTAGCTTGATGTTCGGCACGGGAAGCAGGAGCCGCGGCCGGTCGCCGGTCCGGGGCCGGGGGTACAGCGGCTGCGTGAAGTCCCCCAGCAGCTCCCGGAGCACCTGAGCCACGTGGTGCATCTGCACACGGGGGGCGGGGGGCGTGCAGACCGGCCGCTCCGGCTCCTCGGCCAGCACCTTCTGAAGCTTGCTGTGGAACAGGCAGGAGGGGTCCAGGTTCTGGTACAGGTAGAGCAGGGTGTCCCACGTGACGAACTCCTTCAGCCGCACCCCGTTCTCCAGGAAGAGCTTCACGAATTCGGGCTTGTTGGAGATGAGGGCGGCCGTCATCACGGGGTGCAGCTCTGAAGGCTGAGAGAGAGCACCGTGGGGGGCAGGCCTCGCACACCCTGATGGCGAGGCCGCTGGAGACGGGACTGCCGTTGTCTCCGCCGGGGGAAGGGCTGGGGTCGGGCAGAGGCCCCCCTCCGGGGCCTGGCCTTGCTCCCGGGGGCCAACAAGGCCCTCCACGGGGCAGCCCAGGAGCCCTACCTTCCACTGCCGCTCGTCGGTGAAGATCTCGCTCCGGGCGATGTCCACGCGGTTCCACGCCACCGCTAACTTCAGCTGGTGGTCCCAGTTCTCGTGGCCAAAGTGGTCATGGCTCCGAGAGGCTGCAGGTAAGAACACTCGTGTCAGGAGGCTTCCGTCTGGGTCTCAGAGCCACTTCCCTGCCATCTGATAATGTCACACAGGGAGGGATTTGTCACCAACCACGGTGTCTCCGTGTGCCCAGTGGCGGAATCCCCCCCACGCACACACCTTTGTGAAAAGCACGTTTCCTTTCAGTGCTGGAATCGGGGAATCTCCGGGTTTCGGCCTCACTCTGGCTCGTCCCCGCCCCCACCTCCTGGTCAAGCCCCTTGGCCCCAGCGCTTGCAGAAGACACGGGTGTCTGAAAGGCAGGCGTGTTCGCACGAACCCTCGGAAGTCACCACTGCATATCCCGGCAGTTTCCTTTCTCACCTTGACTGCAGAACCACCGCCCCACCCAGGCTCTACAGCGGCTTTCCCAACTGCTTCCTGCTCTCCCTGGCGGGTTTCACACCTTAAAGCATGGGCTGCTATTTGGGGAAGTGAAAAGGGAACTCGGACCCTCGCCTGACACCACACACAAGACCCAAGCTGAGATGTGCCCCAGACACCTACACGTAAAGGCGGTGCCTGCAGATTTTCCACAGTGAAACACGAGACAAGATCTGTAGCCACAGAGCAGCTAAAGATTTCCTGGGGTGCGAAGGACACAGACCAGACAGGACAAAACGGACAGATGGAACTCCAGTAAAATGTAAGCCTTCTGCTCGTCAAAGACAACTTGAAGGAACTTGGAAGGCGAGCCAGGAACCAAGAGAAAACCTCCCCGGGGCATCTCTCTAACAAAGGATTCATATCAGAGTATTTCTTTTTTTTTTTTTTTTT